TGATTCAAATTTAAACCAGCGTCGCACGATTTACATCCACACGTAGAGACTTGACAGCGAATCCGCGCATTAACGTATAATATATCTATCAACGAAAAAAAAATTGTGAGTCCTTTTTGCATTTGCACTCAAATATGTGAAGTTCTTCTGTATATACACTAACGTTTTAGTATGAATGTACGTTTTGGAATGCATCAGCATTAACACAAACATAAAAGTCTGTCTGGACACTCCCATGGTTTGATTTTGGTCCATTAATCGCCAAAACTTGAATCATGTCATATTATCATATAATTCATATTCAATAGTTAGGGATGCCTTAATGCATTGCCACATCACCATGCGGCCCAAAAATCATCGGTTATCAACTCTTTTGTTTACAGAGTTGTAAAACTGTCTCACCCCGAGTCACTGAACCCAGAATTAAAACACCTTATCTCTGCTCTTCTCTCTAATAATTTCCACATTAAAGATATTAAGCGTTCCATCACAAAATACACTTCACCACAACCTTCCAATAGCAATGAAAACCAGATTTACCACTTGTCCAAAAATCTTTCAACATCTTCGATCCGTCAAACACAAAATTCCATTTGAGATACCAGTCATATGCGGCATTGGAGAGACCGGACGGAAACTATCAACTGGACTCAAGAAACATGAAAGAGCCTTAAGACTAAGACAAACTCATCAGCAGTTGCCAAACAGAATCACGAAACCGGACATAACATTTTATTCGATAACGAACCAACCAACGAAAAATCCGAGGGTCTATAGAAATTTATAAGCAACCTAACAATCTTAACCGCGACTCAGGTCACAAATATTGGAATCAGTCATCCGTGACGGTGTGTGTGCACCTAATTTAGCTCCGCCCCCCTCAAAAAATATAAAAAGCAGGGACAGAGTAAAATGCGAGTCAGTTTCAGTCAAGCTCTGTAGAAGCCAACATTATGTTTGGCGAAACGTTAGCTAGTTCGACTGAACAAAAACCGACGCAGGTGGAATCCAGAAGTTTTATAAAAAGTAATACTTTAAGCTGACTACAATATTAAATTGGTTTAAAAGTAGTGGCTAAATTTTCTATGAACACACCTTTTAGCTTTGACTCCTCAGCAAAAGAAGAACGTTCGGTGTTTTGTATGATGTGACCATAAACATATCCACTAAAGGTAACAAAGATAAAAAAAGCAAGCGACAGGATCAAGCCTAAAATTGAGATTAAAACCACCAAGGCGAACGCATTGTCGTTTTCTAATGGCTTCTCTATGCTATCGTCGGGCTGGTGCGTAGTCTAACGAGCGAATTGACGTCACAACCGGTCATAGCCAATCACAGCGCGTTTCAAAGCGGATTTAAATTTTGAATTGCTTATATTTCTTACATAGCACTAGGACATTATTTTTTTGTGAACTGTGGTTCTTTTAATCGTATAAACTTACTTTTATATTTTCAAATTAAAATTTTGTTCAAGTTCCCTATTAAGTGACTTTTACGCGGTTACTGCCTCTGTGCTGAAATGGCCTAAATCTAGTGTTAACTAAATCTTCTTCGTATCTATAAATATGTTGGTTTTAGTCCAATGTTTCTGTTATTTTTGTTGGACTTATGAACAAATTCATGTAAGCAACAAGCGAAATAAAAAAATGTCATGAATATTAAATATCCTAATGGAAGGAATGGATCGAATTAGGGCTAATTATGAAACGATGTTCTGACTCTGTGGCTCTCTAGTAATTTTAAAGCGTTCGGTAAAGCGTGTATAGAGGCCATGTAGAAAATACATTGTGAATGGCATGTCACCATACAGTCTACTGCAATTCACTGCGAGACCTAATGCCGTATTATCGTGTTTCCAGTTACTGCGTAACGGTAAATAAATTCGGTCAGTTTTCAACCCCTGACCTTGCGTTTCGTTGAAAATTGATTGATTGTATGCATTATAGACTTGGGGCGGTATGTCGCGACGTCAGGGGTTTTTATTCGTATTCGGCGACGCCGGATATTGCGGATGCCAAACCATCATGATATACGACCTTTATTTGTATCCCGAAAGACTTACTTAATATGTTTTGAATACGTATCGAGGGATCAAATATGGATTATCATCTGTTTTTGTCTTGTGGACGCGGCCAAGACAACAGAACTAATACACATCGCTAATCTACTACTTTTATACTTAAATGATAATGGAAAATGGCCAACACCGCAAATGCAACTATGGCAACGGTATTTATACCCAGTGAACTCCATTTACTGAACTGCAATGATCCTGCGGTAACACAGCCAATATTTAAGTAATTTTTCAAATAAACTTCTACAGGTTACTGTAATACTCTTTACAAAAGTTGTTGATTCCTCCTGCGTCTGTTTTTGCTGAGTCGAACTAGCTAACGTTTCGCGAATCATCCTGTTGGCTTCTTCAGAACTTGACTGAAACTGGCTCGTATTTTACTCTGTATTTATATTGTTTGAGGGGGGGCGGAGCTAAATGAGGGGCATAAACACCGTCTCACAATAAACTGCAAACATTAATTTTCCGATACATTGGACATCAGATGCACAGGATATCGACACTATTCGCTTTTGAAAACGTTGTGCTGTTACCAGACACATGTTGTCTGATAACTTATCGAAAACCTAATAACCGTTCCACATATAACCTTTTTTTTTAATTTAGTATCACTATTAAATATCAAAAAGTTATTGGAACAATGGAATGAAACGATGCCATTATTTATTTTGATTAAAAACATAATAATGAAGCAGGCCATTGAAAATAGCATTTTTCTACATCCTCAAAAATTAAAACACAAGCAACGGTAAAAATACTAGCGGCATATTTATTCTCTTTTCTGGTGGCTTTTGTTCTACAAAGGTTCAAAGTCTCCTAAACCTCACTATTAACAAAGGAATTAAAAAAAAAATCTCGTGCAGTCGAAAAATTATTCTGAAAACCAAAATTGATAGTTACCAGTTTGACTCGAGTCGACACGATGAAGAAGGAAATATGGAAGTGTCGAAAGGTTAAAACTGGGGTTAGACAAACAGGCAAATATAATTTGGCTCGTAATTAGTTAGATGCAGTAAGTAAAAAAAAAGAGTTTCTACATAGAAAAAGAAATTATTTGGTTAAAAATAATAAGAATAAAAATTCTTTTGATATATTCGAACTAAATAGGTTTGTCGAAGTAAATAGATAGTTTACTCGATAGCAAAATGGTAAAATATATTGCTTCAAAAATGTATTTTTAGGATTGAATCTTATCGTTTTGTCTATTGAACTAGTTATTCATTGAAAAAAATATATATTTTAATTATTATATTTTTATTATTAGATACATATGAGTACAGAATGAACAAAGTTGAAAAAAATAATATAGGCAAAATGTAATAGAAGAATGGTGAGAGTGCATGTAAGGTTTAATTTGTCCGAAGTACTCCAAGAAACGTAGAACTGACAACGGCGTCCCTATTTGAAGTAAGGCAAGTTTGCAATTTTTACGCACCGTGCGTTCAATTTATCTTGATAACATTTTAATTGGCTGTAACTTTTTTGTTTTTAGAGATATCAAGGTAAAAAAAAAACAAAATGCAGAGTTAGTGCCAAAGTTTTTTTTCCACATGACGTAACTAACCAAAACACTATCATTTTTGACAAATCGGCAAAAGGAAATTTTTATATAATTTCAAAAAGTGCCCTGACTGGCAAATAAAAATATGCTTAGGTATGTTTGACATATTAGAAAGCAACGTTGATGATTGAATTATTGTCCATGTTATTATTGTTAAAGTGGTTTTTCCGTGGAAGGAGTGATACACTTCAAGTTTACTTTCTGAATAATAAAAATGCAACCGCAGCTGGCCGTCAATATATTAGACTTTATCCAGAGCCCGAGCTCCTTCAAAACAGATATTTCCAAGGCTGGCAAAGAAATTTGCATTGCATTTGCAAGGTATGCCGGAATCACAATGTTTTAAACGAAGAAAATAAGGTAAATGTATTAGGATTCTAAGAAGCAATAATAATTTTTTGAAAAACATTTTATGGACTGATGAAAGTTCGTTCACTACAAGAAAAGGTTGTAATAGAAAAAATACGGGATATTGGTCTTTAAATAATCCTAGACAAATACACGAAATAAAAACCCAAGCGTACCAATCAATTGATATATGGTGTGGTGTCATAGATGAGCATATTTTAGGTCCGATATTTATAGATCAAAAGTTAACTTGGAGATCATTATTTGCAACTCTTAGAACCAAATAGAACAATATATACCCCTAAATAGATCAGCGCTGATTACAATGTTGTGCAAGTTAAAAATTTTCTTAACATGGAATATCCCAGAGGTTGGATAGGAAACGGCGGAACTATGAATTGGCTAGCCAACAGCCCCGACTTTGAAGGGATTTTTTCTTTTGGGGACACATAAAAAATCACGTGCACAAAAGCACAGAACTCCTTGTAATAATGCCGTGGAACTTGGGCAAAGGATTTCAGAGGCAATCAATCAGTTAAGAGACAATTCGGAATGTATCAGAAATGTGTTCAGGAAAATGGTGGTCACATACAACAGTATTTAGAATAGTTAAAGAATTTTTTACTTTAGTGTGTCTTGACATTTTTAGTGTTTTTGTTCTTCTTTAATTATATAAAAATTTCCTATTTTTGCCGATTTGTCAAAAACGAGTTGACTCAAATATAAAGTGTGTTACATCATTGTAACCGGAATAAGGGTGTTTCGTTTAAAAAAGTATGATGTAGGCTTATATGTCAGAACATTGATAGTGTTTTGTTTTTTTGTTTACCTTGATATCTCTCAAAACAAAAAAGTTATAGCCAATTAAAATGTTATCCAGATAAATTGAACGCACGGTACATATTCACATTTAGTAGTCTTCTTCGGACGATGATAGTGACAATCGGGATATTTTTAATATAAACACATTAAAAATAGAACTCAACGGGCACAAAGCCATTTCAAAACAAAACTTACGCCTGGGATCGTTGCTCAGCTTCATTTTCTCCAGCGACGATGAATCGCGGTCATTGTACACGATAACTCCAGAAGCGTGGCTCCGAAACGCATTATCGATCTTTATGTCAAAATTGCACTGACCCCTTTTTATCATCGCTATCCACGGAGTTCCCGGATTCGGGAGACGTCCGTCCGACCTTGAGCTCTCTAGTGGAAGCACACAACCGCTGTGATCATCTCGTCGATGCTGTGATGTGATGTGGACTAGAACACCGAACGCCGGACCTGCAAGAAATATAGCCGTAATAGTCGGGAGTAAGCTACGAAGATGCAAAGAACATTCATAAACTTTAAACTTTTAACCTCACGAAAAATTGCGGCGCGGGTACGGCCCTGCAAATGAAAATTAAAATTCATTTCAGAAAGGTGTAGCGTAATAAAGCCTTATTAGACCTAGAGAGTTGAGTTGAGATATTTGGCATTGAGCGAAATTACTTACCTACCACGTAACAAGAGAATAATTTTATTATAACAGAATAAAAATTATATCGCCATTTTCTCGATCATCTGAGGAAATATCATCTTATCTTGAGGTTATAATTAACGGGCCCCACATTTGATGATATGCTGGACTGTTTTTTTCCAGTTCTCTGGTGTCACTTCCTCGATGTCTCGATCAAACAGATGCTAAAGAGAACGATGTTTGAATAAATTTATAAATATTATATTTATAATATAAATATATTTGAATAAATATATACAAAAGCAATATTTTCGCTAGGTAACCAGTTGGTAATTCCTCCAAGATGAAGTTGGAGTTTTCTCTATCCGACGTGCGTTATTCAAACTATTTTATTATTTTACCAAAACCATCCGAATTCGTAATGACAACAAAGCCTATTTAACCTATTGGCCTATTATAGGGCTCAAAAAATTTTATTACACAAAGTTTACCCACACCGAAATTGAGCGAAACCGCATGGAGTTTTCCATTTTTCATTCTACACTTTTCTGAAATGCCTTATAGTAGATTTCCTATAAATCTATCTATATTTCCTATTTCATGCGGTTATTTCTCCAATTGTATTTTTTGGACTTTTCTGAGGTAGGTATCAATATTAGCAAGACTATTTTTTTAATGGTAAATTTTATTACTGAGCTGTACGTCAACATTATATGATGCCAAATATTTCGAGAACAGTTGCTCGTAAAGACAAAAATTCATTTTTTTGCCACAATGATAATTAAGAACAAAATTTCGTTCAGAAATCGCCATTATTTAGGAAATTATACAGAATAAATAAAAATAAGCATGTATCAGTTATTAATAAACCATCTATCAAACTTGTTTGCGGTCAAAACTGCAAGTAAAAGAACGTGCCTATACAAGGGTACAAGGGTAAGTGTTGCCTTACATACAAGTTAATTTAAAAGTATTACAGGTGGTTTACATATGACTCCCACTCACGAACTTATATAATTTCTGCTTTCAATAAATTGTTCTTTCAACAAATGAGTGATGTTTATTTATTTTATATTTAACAAACTGGATTGAAATCTGGGAAACACTGCCGTGAAAATGCTGCATCAAAACTTCCTGTGAGTGGCTATTGAATCGTTCAATGCCGCAAGATCTTATGACCCCTGAGAGAATGACCCTCTCTTTTTTTTTGTTATAGTTGCTTCATAAATTCCTGTATTATCAGCATTGGGCAGTAGATATATGAATAACCTATATGAATCAACAAAACAATTAAAACGCGCTGCAATGAAAATTGCTCTGTGCTGGGAACTAAGCTTGCTATGCAATTGCACTGCGGTCTATCTTAATTAAAAGGCACTAAAAGATTCGGCGGGCTCGGACCTTTTTACGCTAGTGAACACAACACATAGTAGTCAATTAGAGATACTTTCGAATTCCTCAATTAGCCACCAGGGGGCGTAATTGTTATCCTGAATATCGCAAAAAATATATTTTCCGGAAAAATAATAAATACAAAAATAGGACTTTGTTTATGTCATCACCATCCCAGTTAAAACTTCAATATCTCTCCCTTAACCTAAAATATGAATAATAATAAGTTGCATTTTGTATAACGTTGCATTTATCCTTTTTTCAATGTTTTTTTTTCGATTATGACAGCAAACGCTACCTGGTGGCAAGGTAAGCAATTAAAATCGCGTCACATATGGTAAAAATATGACATTTTTTTTTAGAAATTGTTCGAAAATTTCTTTAGAGATAGAGGAAACAGCATTAAACAAACAAGATTTAAATTTGTCTTGCTTTAAAACAGTACTCACTTTAACCATGGTTAACATTAGAAAGTAGAAGTAGAAACCTCATTTTCCAATTTAAGATAACAATTACGCCTTGTGGTGGCCACTAAAGAAACTCAAAAATATTTCCAGAACTTTCTCTTGGCCGATTTAATCTCTTTCTCTTTTAAAATTTCTTTCGCTAACCGCAAACTTCTTTGGCTTTTCTGGGACTTCAAACCAATCCAACAATTTCAAAAACGACTCTAGATTAAATTGCGTTTGCATTTCACTCGATTGTTCAGTAACTCATTTACCTATTTAAATTTAAGGGACAAAATTACTCAAGCTTAAAATACCGGGTCCTACCTATTCTACAAAATACTTACCAACGTATCCCCCTCCGAATCTTCCGACCTCCGTTTTGTCCCACTTCCATCCGTGGTCAGTCTTGAACGATATATTTAAGTACGCAGATACGAAACTATTATCCTCTGCATTATAGTTAAACGCTCCAATCGAGACGTGGTCCTCAGGGGAAGCCTCCGAATGGCATTGTGCAAGAAAGTGTACCAACACAGAAAACATGAACACCAACTGCTTCGGGATCGTATTCAAGGAAGACCAAAGACACCACATAGCTGAGGTTTTATATTTTGAATTTCTGAAAAAAAAAACGGTAGTTGATTTAATTAGAATTACAAATATGTACAGCGACATTAGCGCTTCCCGCACGAAAATTATTAAGAGAGATAAAGAATGTTTTAGCCTAGGAATCGATAATCATCGATATCAGCTTTTGCTGTAACTAAAAAAGAGTATATAAGAAACTTGTCTATGTTAAGGTGAAGAAGACAGACATTTAAATCAAAATAAATTGTATAGATTTGCAATAATGAAATTTTAAAAATCTAAAAAATGATTGAAATCAATTGAAATTACTTGAAACAATTTCAAGAGTTAAATAATATATATAAAGTTTAAAAAATGTTGTATGAAGCTGCTTATCGTCTACAATCTTATCGTGCATTGTGGTGTGACACCCTGTATTTTGTGCCTTACTTTTTCTTATCATAATTTTAAAAGCCGGAAGACAATAAGCCAAGGATTAATATTAATAATATTCGAGATAGGCCGGAGGATTTTTTAAAATTTACTGTTTCATTGTTCAGCTAGATATTTACAAATTACAAATTTATGTTTACCATTATTTAGTTGCATAGAATGAAGTCTTAATTTTTATTCAAGTTTTTAGATTTTTTTTTAGAAAACCTGCCGCAATTCCTTCTTTCAAAACAAGTGTGTTCTTAATAAAAACGAATACATAAGATATCTGAATTTAAATCTGAACAGCTAACACCACGTGATCCAGTCACATGACCTAATTAAACATATCGAATAAAGCCGCAATGTTTACGGTAACTTTGATGTATAATAAAATATTCTGCAAGATGTAGGTCAGTAACCGAGAAAATCACTTTTGGACATTTTAAACAGGTCACATGGTAAAGTCACACCGTTTATTATTTCATATCCCAACTTAATAAAAATGTTTCAATTCTGAATAACAATGTCCGTTTGTACCTGTATGCACAATTAGAACCCGACATATACAAAAAAGTAGGTACATTCTAACTTCTGAAATTTTTCCGTTATGTATCGTGACGTTATATCAAGTTCTCTAGTTGTTTAAACTTCTAGTAAAGAAGGCAAATTCAGATTTAAGAGCTGTCAAGTTGGTTATCAAGAATGACGTCGAACCGTATACAACCCTCATTTGCAATTTTTTTTTCAAATAATGAGAATATTTAAACAAATTTAGAAAATAGATATGCAGAGAGTCATCTGAGTTGTGACTCGTACTCCACGAGTAAAGGTCGACCACATATCCTGATACTATATTATCTAGGAACCTGTTTTAACTTACCTACTTTATTAAGCAGTGGTCGAACAAAACCCTTGTAAAGAAGAAATGAATAAAAATTAATTTTACATATAATATAACGTGTATTACACTACTTATTCTTTATGATCGGTTGCACATCACTAATGCCAAAGGCATTTAAATGTCTTTAATCGCCCTGTTCTATTGAAATACTGAATGATACTGCACACCACGAATACAAAAATATTTTTGTTCCTGTAAAGGTGAACACTTTTTTATCTTGGCACTGAGATAGTAAAACGCACACGGCATCGTGATAAATTATTAGCTTTTAGGTACCTCAAAAAAAAAAAAAGGAAGTGGTTTGTACGGGTATACTTTCATCAAACGGTTAATTAAAGCTGCTGAACAATAAACCCCAGTAAACGTCTTTTGTCTCAATTTAATGATAGTGATACTACTCCTACTCCTACTTTTGAATGAATCATTTATAATTAAAACCATCGAGACTGTGATATGAATACATCGCATATAAAATATGCCGGTTATCGAACCAAATTTAATGCGACTGTATTCCTTGTTTGTTTCTAAACAATTTATTTTTATCATAATTATCTATAAAAATGAATTAAAATATTACCAAAATACTGATAAGGGTATTAAATTCGATCGTTTTATTTATTGTTTAATTAATACTTTCTAAACAGCACCTGAGGAAAAACAGTTTTATTGATGTACTAAGTTCCCAAAAAAAGTAACGTACTTAATTAGAAGTTTAATACCTTTTAAGCCGGGGACCAATTTTCTTACAATTTACAAAAAAATAGATGAAATTTTCTTCAAAGTCGGAAAGATCAGTACCACCTCAATTCTGTGGAAAATACGCTCCTATTACCAGCAATTAATTTCTATTATTCATATATCTAGTCGGAATTACAGCTACTTTAGATTAGATTTCTAAAAACTCATACGCAATAATATCGGTGGGTGGGTGAAAAGTGTCCAATCAATAAAAGATAGTTCTCCACTAGCTCTGATTATTTTCTTTGTTGGCTAAAGTATGTATCCGTTCTTCAATACAGATTTAATAGAAGGTCGATATTGGACAGGAAACCTTGCTATTTACATTTTAAATAATTATCTGTTAAGTTTGGGCATCGCTTTTGCATGTCTCAAGGCCAGAGTACTTGAATCGAGACTTGAACCCAGGAACTGGATACAGTTCCTAGGTTCAAGTATCGTAGGTACCTTTGGTAGCAAAATAAATAAGAACTAAAAGTCCAGATTTTCACGAAATTATATATTTTCACATGACAATTGTTTGGACAGTGTCTTTATCAAATGTAATATTTACAAACTACCTGCTACTATATATACCGAAAAATGACCATCAAACCTTAATTAATGTTGTTGTGAGAATTTAAGTTTAATAATTTTATACTTTTTGTGGCTGTATGTAAAATATCAAAATTGTCGTGAAAAATATGTTTTTCTGTTTTTAAGTGTGTAGAATAATTAGATCCGCATTTCAACCTGTAGACACCTAATTTTGAGATTTTTTACATTTCGTTTTATTGTTGTTTAAACATTTTCCTATTGTGTTGTTAGTTCTGAAAGCTATGTTTAAACCACAATTTGAAAAATGTTTTGAAACTTTTTCACTGGCTTCTCTTATGCATATAATTGTTTTAAATTGTTCGGGTTCTGTATTAGGTTTCGGATAAATAGAGTTTACTGTTGTCTGGATTTGTTTTTTATTTTATAATTTTTTATTTATTATTTTATCGGTAATGGACGGATTGTAGCCGTTGTTCAGTGCAATTTGTTTAATGATATGAAGTTCTTTGTTGTAATTTTCTGTTGAGAGTGGCGTATTAAGAATTCTGTGTATAAAAGAGTGAAATGCAGCCATTCTGTGTATATAAGGGTGATTTTAGCTGTTATGTATGACTGTGTCCGTGCGTGAAGGTTTATGGTAAATGGAAAAATCTAATTTGTTTTGCGTTTTCGTAATAGTTAAGTCTAAAAAACGAATAGATTTATCCAGTTCAATCTCGACAGTGAATTTTATACGATTATATAATAAGTTAATGCAGTTTAAAAAAGAATTCAATTGTCTGTCCGTTCAACAAAGCAAGCAAAGACATCATCCACGATCTATACCAGAATAGAAAACTTTTACTTAAAGGATGTTCTAGTATGATATTTTCCAAATTATCCATAAAAATCTCGGCTAACAAAGGACTAAGTGGGTTTCCCATAATCAAACCTTCCTAAAAGATGTAAATCTGTCCATTAAATTCGAAATAATTTTGGTCTAAAGATACTATTAAGCAATCTAATAAATCTTGTTTCACCAAAGGGTCGACCTGTTTCCGAGTGAGGGTGAAATCTACTAAATCTATCACAACCATAGGTGGGAAATAAGTTTTGTACATCAAAAGACAATAGTGTTGCGTTAGAAGGGATTTTGATATCTTTAATTTTGTTGATTAATTCAAAAGAATTTTTAATTGCAAATTTTATTTTGGTTTAAAATCTGGGTGGAACTTTAAAATATTTACTAATTTTGTTGAGAGTTTAACTGCTGGAGCTGTTACATAAGACGCCTGGTCTAATGGGCATATATTGTTTATATAATTTAACTAAAGAATATAATTTCGGCGGTTGTGGATTCATAATTATTAAAAAATACTTGTCTTTGTCACTAAATGTCTTTGATATGACTCGGTAGGATCGTGTTTGATACATTGGAAAAGTTCTGGTGTAAAAAAATTGTTGGTTTTTGAAATATATTCTGGGAGATCGATAGCTATGACTATCTTCCCTTTATCTGCACGTGTAAATATTATGTTATTTTCAGAAGCTTTGTTTTTGATAGTTTCTACTAGTGACATTTGAGAAATTTCTTGGTGTTTGTTGTTATTAGAATCGTTAATGTCCTTAATTGCTAATTCACAATCGATAATAGATGAAATGTCTGTTAGAGCTGTATAATCAAATGTGTCAAATTCTAGGGGATTAAGTCCATGAGACAATTTAGAATGTATTACCTTTGCATAAATGTTGTTTGTATCCCGTTTTCTGTACTCGTATCTTCGTTCTTCCTTCATCCATTTCGTATGACCTTGGATCTGGGCATTTGTTAAAAAACCAAATGTTTTGGGAACATATTCGGCAACGTAGAAGCAATTTGAAATACCCAATAGCCAAGAAACCAATTTCAGCTTCTTTCAAAAATTGAACTGAGGCTTTTACTTGATGAAAATCCATTTAACAAAATAAATAAGAACTAAAAGTTCAGATTTTTTTAATTTTAATTTTTAAAATTTCCTGAAAATCTGAACTTTTAGTTCCTATTTATTTTGTTAAATGGATTTTCATCAAGTAAAAGCCACCTCAGTTCAACCTTTGATAGCGTTGTACTAGCCCAGGTTTGACCCGTTCTAAATTTTTGAGAGGGCAAATTTCGGTACAAATTATCAGAGGCGGATATATAAAACGATAAATGCAAATACCGCTGTTGTCGCAGTAGAAAATATTCTGTCCCCAATCAATTTCATTATTTAAGGTAATTTCCGAAGTCTTTCAAAATCTTTTGCTCCCACGTATCCACAAAGGCATCGATTTGATGTTGGCGAAACGCGTCGAAAAACGATTTCAACATGACATTTACAACGGTTTTATCCAGCTTCATCTCATTCAATAAACCGACGCGCATTATTCACAGATAACAGAAAGTCTTTTACTGCCTTTATTGAGCGAAATATTAAAATTTA